CCAAAAGGGGGGAGGGGCTGGAAGAGGGAGGGGGCTGGCGGCATTCCCTCTACCCCCGCAGGCAACCCCGGGAGGCATGCCGGAGGACCGGAGGAGGAGCGCCGGACCCCCGCAGCCCAGACCCATCACGGGACGACCCACCCCAGGGACCCGAGGACGGGGGCAGGCGGCGGACGACTCCGACCCCCCCACCCGAGGAGTGCAGAGGGCCGAGCCCGCTGGAGGGCAAACCCCCGTCGCCGGCCCGTGAGTGGGGCCGAGGGTGGAGAGCCCTCTCCACCCCCTGGCTGAGAGTAAGTCAGGGCGCAGCGGCAGGCGCCGCAGGGGCAGAGACAGAGGGGCAGAGACCCAGGGGAAGAGACGGGGTAGAGGCGCAGGTGAGCGGAGAAGCGAGGCGACCCCGCACGCTAGCCCGCTCGATCTCGCCACACAACATTGGAAAATATGCAGAGATCAGATCAAAATGGTGTCCTTTCCAGTTTTTTTTTTTTTATAAAAATGTAAGCAAGCTATTGTATACCTTTTATAATCTTATGAATTTTTTCCATGATGGACACTTGCGATGATTAATAAATAACATTTTTGTTTGTTTTGAGGGGACTAATCTAAAATTTTCTCCCAGAGGAGGTGAAGGTGCAATGTGTTAAAATGAGTAAATGATCTCTGACTGACGTGTCTTAAAAAAACTTAAATCAGTGTCCAGACAGATTTATGAAACAAGAACTGAATGGCACACACTGCTCTTAATATGTTCAGGTTGACTCAAATGTTCTCTCAATCAGCAGCTGATGATGCTGGATGAATGCATGTTGCAATTTACATTGCTAGTAGGGCACTTGATTAATCAAGAATTAACTCATGCAATTAACTCAAAATTTGTGATTATAAACCTGGTTAACCACAGGTTCAATAATCAATGTATTAAATATTTTGGAAAATGTAATTATTTAATTAAATATTTTGGATGTTTTTCTACATTTTCAAATTGATGTCAATTACCAACACAAAATACGAAGTGTGCAGTGCAAATAATTGTAATACAATTCATCTCCTAAAAGTACTGTAGTGCTTTATCATGAAAGTGCAACTTGCAAATGTAGGATTTTTTGTTACATACCTTTTCTGGGAGGGGGGAGGGGGAAGTAAAACGTTAGAGCCTAAAAGTCCACTCAGTCCTTCTTCTTATTCACACAATCACCAAGACAAACAAGTTTGCTTATATTTATGGTATATAATGCTGCCCACTTCATATTCATGTCCCCTGAAAGTGGAAACAGGCATATGCATGGTACTTTTGTAGCCAGCATTGCAAGGTATTTATGTGCCGGATATGCTAAAGATTTTTATGCCTTTCCTTTCCAGGGAACATGCTTCCATGCTCATAATATTTGTTTAAAAAAAAAGTGTTAATTAAATTTGTGACTGAGTTCCTTGAGAGACAATTGTATGTCTTCAGCTCTGTTTTTCCTGCATTCTGCAGGATGATGACCCTACACATGTTGTTTTAAGAACGCTTTCACTGCAGCTTTGACAAAACACAAAGAAGGCATCAATGTGATGTTTCTAAAATTAGCTACAGCCCTCAACCCAAGATTTAAAAATCTGAAGTGACTTTCAAAATCTGAGAGGGACATGGTATGAAGCATACTTAAGGAAGTCTTAAAAGTACAACACTCTAATGCAAAAATTACAGAAAAAAAAACTATCACCAAAGAAGAAAATCAACCTTCTGCTACTAGAATCTGACTTAGATGATGAAAATGACATGTATCAGTCCATGCTACTTTAGATCGTTATTAAGTAGCACCCCTCATTAGCATGGATATGTCCCTTCGTGGTTGAAGTTTGAAGGGACATTATCTTTGGCACATAAGTATCTTGTGATGCTGGCTACCACAATGCTATGCAAACAGCTGTTCTCACTTTCAGGTGATACTGTAGACAGCATCACCTTGTTTGAATGAAGTTCTTTTTTATATATAATTGTACATTTATACAAGTTCATTTTTCACGATAAAGATCGTACTGCAGTACTTAGCATTTTTCAATTCACCTCATTTCTTTACAATGAAAATATTTTAATCAAAGATAGTACTGTACACTTTGCATTTTTAATTTAAATAAATATTTGTAAAATATAGAAAACATCCAAAATATTTAAATTGGTATTCTATTGTATAAGAGCTTGACTAACCACAGTTAACTTTTTAATTGCCTGACTGCCCTAATAGCTAGTGTTGTTGTTGGTTTTGTGCATTTATTATGTTACGCAATAGTATTACTGCAAAAACAGGGAAGATAGATTACGTCAGTTTGTGTACTAGAGTTTTACCAGGCAGAAAAAAAATTCCATTACCCTGTATCTATCCAATGCTGTTTAAAAAAAAAAAAAAAAAAAAAAAAAAAACCAACTCTGACCTTTTTTAAGTTTTTGAAGGACTGTATGGCTGGAACAGAAGAAAAATGGAACAACTAGAAGACTGAAGTAGTAGTATGCACTGCAGAACTAGTTGACTATGAGGCTCACATTAACAGTTCACTCTCTCTCCTGTTTCTTCTATCAAAATGTGTGTTATTTGAAAGGAAACTGTCAACATTAAAAATCCTGTAAATAGAACTTTATTTAAATTGGCTTCTGGTTTTGTTTTTATGGGCACACTGTGTAGCCTGTTATGAGCTTGTGTACTGCTGCATTCTTTTGGCAGGCAGGTTACTGAAATGATTATCATGTTTCACTATTCAGCCTGTTGGAGCCTGAAGGCACAGCAGGGGGAAACAGTACAAAGTTCATTTATTCTTTCATGGAAAAATTAAAATTGCTGTACCCTGGGATGTGATGACAACTCTTTCAGTAGAGAAGTTTGAATTAATAGTATACTTAGCTTCTATATTGTGGAGTCCTAATCATAAACCAAAATCCCAGTGTCCTGGTACTGGATTAGGACCCCAAGCAGCTAATGCAAATGTCACTCTTCTAACAGAATGATAATGTAGAATCCAAACTAATTACATGTTAACGTATGGTCCTGCAAGCACTCTGTATGCAGAAATCTTATTTAAATTAATAGCTGAAAGCTGCACAACTGGACTGTTAATGTTGTCTTTTATAGAGCATTTCCCCAAAATGCTTACAACATTAATTTGTTTATAGAATAAGCTATATCTTCTCCTTCATGACAAAATTCTGTTTCAATAATGCCAATTCAGCAGTACACAAACAAGCCGCATGCTCCTAGGTGGCAGGCAGTGTGCATGTGAGAGCTCCTTCCCTCCCTCCTGAGTTCCTTCTCTATGCTGGAATGATATCAGGGAGGAGACCAGAATTCCAAAGTAGAGGGGAGAAAGGGAGGGTAGTGGAGCAACCAAGGGGACACTCATCTCAAAGAACATCCATTACTGTCGAGGTGAGTAACCTCCTCTTCCTCGAGCGATGTCCCCATGGGTGCTCCACATTAGGTGACTGCAAAGCTATTCCGACTCTCTCAAGTCCACGAGCACTAAGCAAGTATTATGATCAACCTATAGATCTAGAGAAAAGTCAAACAAATAAGGAAAAAGTAACTCTGAAGCAGAGTTAGTAAACTGCCACTTGAATTACATTCTTCTTTAATCCAAGTTGACACTGGATCAAGTGACATTCTCCTTAAAAGGAAAATATTATATGGAGCCTAAACTGCTATATATTTCAGCACAGAAATTGCTAAGTTTTTTTCATTCTAACAAAATCCAAAGTCTGTATTTTTGTTTTGGGTTTAAAATTATGGTTCTGCTATATCTCATCACCATGCTCTGCCAGGAACTCACACTTGGCAATATGGGCTTGATCTTATTTTTTTTCCCCCAAGAAAGGAAGCTTCAGAATTCCTTTTTTTTAAGACAGCTTTTCCAGTCTTTTGGTAATAAACTTGTGTTGTATGATTTGTTTTAATCATTTAATGTAGCTGGAAAGGTAGAGGAAAGATGTGTTATTTTACACTCTCCCTTCAATTATTTTTCCTGCCATACTGTCCTCCCTTTCACTTTCTGCATAAATAGTTTACACATTGATTGGATACAAATGAATGGAATGGACATCCATTTTTGACCTGTTTACACATAAGTAACTTACACTGGCATTCACATCACCAGTGAATTTGGCCAACACACTTCCACAGGAGTTGTACCATCTTAGGGTGTGTCTAGACTACATGCCTCCGTCGACGGAGGCATGTAGTCTAGACACACCCTAAGATGGTACAACTCCTGTGGAAGTGTGTTGGCCAAATTCACTGGTGATGTGAATGCCAGTGTAAGTTACTTATGTGTAAACAGGTCAAAAATGGATGTCCATTCCATTCATTTGTATCCAATCAATGTGTAAACTATTTATGCAGAAAGTGAAAGGGAGGACAGTATGGCAGGAAAAATAATTGAAGGGAGAGTGTAAAATAACACATCTTTCCTCTACCTTTCCAGCTACATTAAATGATTAAAACAAATCATACAACACAAGTTTATTACCAAAAGACTGGAAAAGCTGTCTTAAAAAAAAGGAATTCTGAAGCTTCCTTTCTTGGGGGAAAAAAAATAAGATCAAGCCCATATTGCCAAGTGTGAGTTCCTGGCAGAGCATGGTGATGAGATATAGCAGAACCATAATTTTAAACCCAAAACAAAAATACAGAGAGCAGACAACTAGCAAATCGGGTACCTGCATAATACGCTGTCCCTGAATTCCCAGAGAATCTTGATTTATATAAATTAGCAGCTGGTTTTGCAAGATGTACTTGGTATCCTCAGAGATTGTCCTTAAATCACTGGATATAAAGAGAGGGGCTGCCATGATTGCCCACAATGCCATCTGCACTTTTGACTGCTCATAACTCAGGCCAAAGTTACCAATAATCAGCTGAAATAAATCAGATACTGTTAAATGAAATTGTCTATATTGTGGAGTCCTAATCATAAACCAAAATCCCAGTGTCCTGGTACAGGATTAGGACCCCAAGCAGCTAATGCAAATGTCACTCTTCTAAAAGAATGATAATGTAGAATCCAAACTACATTACATGTTAGTGTATGGTCCTGCAAGCACTCTGTATGCAGAAATCTTATTTAAATTAATAGTTGAAAGCTGCACAACTGGACTGTTAATGTTGTCTTTTATAGAGCATTTCCCCAAAATGCTTACAACATTAATTTGTTTATAGAATAAACTATATCTTCTCCTCCATGACAAAATTCTGTTTCAATAATGCCTCTGCAGACTTGGAAAATTATCTTAAATTTACCAGCTCATCAACAAAATGTACTCTTCTCTCTTTACACCACTAGGATCAGTGAGCAATTCAGGTTTTGAAAGGTTATTTTAATTGCTCCCCTTTTACTGTAATATTTGTTCAAATGTTTACCAGCATTTTTCAACTAAGCTATTTTGTAGAGGAATTTTAGGTAATAAATTGTGCATCTATCTTCAAGCGTAATCCCAGCCAGGTTCACTAATGGCTCCATTTTGCCACCCTTCCTCTTAAATATATTTGTGTCACAACTTCACGAGATTGTGAAGCATTTTGGACTTTTAGGCTATTAACTTGCTGATTATAATGAAGGGTATGATTCTGTCACCGAGGTCAAGGATTCCGTTACTTTTTGGGACCTCCATAATTTCTTTCAGGTTAGTATTGGAGCAGCTGTCAGCCTCAAGGCTTCTGGAGTCGTGGGTGTTGATACAGATGACCAGCGGTCAGCCCCAAGGCTGCCAAAGCAGCAGTCCTGCCCCTGCCATAAAAGTGGCTGTGGTTGGGTCTCTTCTTGACTTATAGTTAAAAACGTTTTGGCTTGATCCATGTGCAATTCCTAGCTGATTTTTTTCCCCGAGACCGTTAAATGTGAACATAGTTTACATCAATTTAAATGCAAACACAGTGCAACCTTAATGACTGAGTAGCCACTGCTTCTTTTATGCTAACTCTAACCCTATATTCATCTTATGCTATAAATACTCTCTAATTGTATTGTACCATTTTGCAGACTGTTAAGTTGAGGTAAAAATAATGATGCAGTGAGTTGGTGATGGAGGCAGAAGTAGAACCCAAGAGTTCTAACTCTGTCCTCTGTTCTAACTGCTAGACATGGTTTATTATACACTTGTGCATAGTATCAATCTTCTTGGTTGGCTGTTCACAGCTGTCTTTTTGAAAGTCTTACTGAATTATCTTTTTATTAGGCTCTAGTTAAAATTTCAACAGACTACAAAATATTTAAAAAGACAACATCACCATATCTGGATCGTTCCATCTTCCTGGGCCAGCTGCAGGTTGCAGTTTATCCTGGTTATTTCCATACCACTCAATAATATTTAGAACACTCTCCCAGGAATCCTGGATGTCAATAAAATTTCTCCAGAGGTTACAAATTTCACCAAGTATGGTATAATTTACCTTAATAAAAACAAGGAATATTTATAGGTATGCTACATACGTGATCATCACAACCATGAAATAAATTACTGTGTTTCTATAGCCACTGAATAAATTACATTTACACTACACTACTACATTTACACTACACTAAATTACATTTAGATTGCTACTGCCATTATAGATCTCTAGGAACTTGGACAGCTCTGATTTTCAGCTGCCTCTGTTCTAACTGTTCCCTTCTTCCCTCCTCTCCCTTGTTCTGCTTCTGCTGCTTTTCTACCAACACTACTTGCTAAGTGGTCGGTCTAATCACCCCTCACCTTTATGACACCATCAAATTAAGTGGATCACTAGGCTTCAGAGCTGGAACTAACAGGCTGTTAAAAATTATTATATAAACTCTCGGACAAAAAAGTAGATGGGGAAGACAGTGTACATAAATACTGTTTTGTTAGAGTTTATAATATATAAGTAGTATTGTCCATCACCAAATTCACAAAAAGTATTGATATAAAAATATTTTAAAAAACAATAAGCTGAACTGTTCTCCAGAAAATCAAATAAGGCTTTTTAAAATTTCTAAAGGAGTAAAATATTCCTTAGAATAAACATATATCTGTTGTTAAATGTGTTTTTCCCCCAAAGGAAAACAACTGATTTTAAGGCAGTGGTTTAGTTGCTATTTGTAAACTGAGAAAATTAGACACCGTTAACAGGCTAGTTTATTTTCAGATGTCATATTCATTATCTGAATGGTGACTCTGGTATCTACAGTACACAGCTTTCTCCTAGATACAGCTGAAAAGCAGAAGACTTTGATGTTTCCTTAGTGGAGTGAGTTTGTACATCTAACGAGGTGGTGCCAGTATGCAGGAATGAATGAAACCTATTAGGAGTAATGTGGGTACAGTTAATTCAAATAAGTTCCAGCCATTTTATCAAGAGGTTCTTGTTAGCTAAATACTCTCAGCTAAAGAGGAATAAAATAAAAACAGACAGTAGAGATACCTTTGGGGGAAGCCCTCCTTCATAGGCTGGCCAGCTACATGAATAAGCAATAGGTCTTCCTGTTTTATTCAGAGCAATGCTCATCTTTGGGTAGCCTAAATAAAACAGAGTATTCGATAGTAAAGCAAGATAATATTAACACGTTAAATAATAATAATAGCAATAGTGTTCTAGTTTTTTACTTGTTCTTGTTTTACAAAAATAAGAGTGGAAACGCTCCATGGAGAATTACATACGGAACATGAATTATATATGGAACAAGGCTAATTAAAGGCTTCCTTTACAAAGAGTTTATGCAATTTATGATCATGCCTGCCCAAAATTGACTGTTTCTGCGGAAGTAACAAAACCATTTTTGTACATTTCTATTTTCAAGTTATTCGGCAAGAGGAAGATTTTTTTCCCCAAAAATACATGTGTGATTGGAATAATCTTATACTTTTGAACCAGTGTTTATGAAAAGAGCTGAATGGCACAGTAGCATTATAGTATGCTGCCATTAAGGAAGTCTGGTTTTGGGAAAGAACGAAGGACTCTAATTTAGATCAGCAGAAAATGGAACATCCTGAAGAGATTATATTCCTGAAAACCCTTATGCAGATAGACTCATAGACTTTAAGGTCAGAAGGGACCATTATGATCATCTAGTCTGACCCCCTGCACAGTGCAGGCCACAGAATCTCACCCACCCCTCCCAGAATAATCCTCTCACCTATATCTCAGACATTGAAGCCTTCAAATACTTTGAAGACCCCAAGATGCAGAGAATCCTCTAGCTGTGATCTGTACCCCATGCTACAGAGGAAGGCGAAAAACCTCCAGGGCCTCTGCCAATCTACCCTGGAGGAAAATTCCTTCCCAACCCCAAATATGGCGATCAGCTAAACCCTGAGCATGTGGGCAAGACTCATCAGCCAGACACCCAAAAAGTTCTCTAGTAATTCCTATCATCCCTCCATTGACCAATTTCCCAGATGAATAAGTTTTTGAGAAAAGAGGTGCTGCAAGCACAGGATCTTGTCCCCCTCAGTAACTTTCCTTTCTAAGCACTTACTATAACAGTCTGGGAACATAGTCCTAATTACCCTATCTGAGATTCACCTATTAAAACAAATCATAAACCATCTCTATTGGCACTTGTTCTATACACACAGAACTTAGGTTTCAAAACAGTTGACTTAGTAATACTTATTTTCTTGTACTTGAATAAGTTTATAAAAAGGTACTCTACTAATTATTGGGCCTCCAAAATTACTCTAATTGTGAGATCAATTATAAAAAGTTCATAATGTCACAACAACATAGAGTAGAACCTGAGACTATCAAGAGACTTACAAACTGACCAGTCAACCACACACCTCATTTGGAGCTGACTGTTCACAGACAAAGCAGAGACGAAAAAAACTAAAAAGAGTAGAGTACTGTGTTAAATGTAGACTACTACTAAAAAAAGAAAAGCAGCATTTTTCTTCTATATGGTAAAATTTTAAAGTGTATTAAGTCAGTGCTGAGTTGTAAACTTTTGAATGAATATCCATAACTTGTGTTCAGAGCTTTGAACATATCAGAGTACAGACCAACCAGTCCCAAGGATCATAATTCTGAAGTTCTAGTGTAATAATTAATGGTGACAGAAAAAGGTGCAAAAGGAAGACAAACTATGTTAGTCAAAACAGAAATGATATAATCCAAAGATTGTTGAGAATGTGCCTCAAACAAGAGTAGCATGGAACTGGAATTCAATGGTCTATAGCTGGTATGTCAGAAATTATGCTTGACTGCAGGATAAAATAATGAGGGGATAGGTTGTTTCATCTTCCTTTTCAAAATAAGATTTTGGGGAAAAATCTGCCTGCAGGCTAACAATCACTGCTGATTAGGAGATAAGGAGACTGGAAGAAGTGAACTTTACCATCAAGGCTATCTCCTGGACCCTGAAATTCATTGTTACACCGCTGGCCCTTTATTTGTCCTTATTCTGAGGAAGATCTTGATGAGGCAGGACCAGAGAGAGGGACCAAAAGGAAATCAGCATCTCCACTAACTAAACCCTGAATATCACCGAGGATGTGAAGCTTTGTCACTCAGACCATATTCCGTGTTTCTTCTCTTTCCTATCCTCCTACTTTTGCCCTCTGACTATTACAATTCTGGGTTGGCTGGACAAGACCATATATTTTGCCACACTGCTATAAGCCTGTAAGCAAAGAGGCAGTTGAAAGCAATATCATAAAACAGGCTGATGCTGGTACAAGCTTGTCAGCTCACAAAGTGACTGACTAGACATTTGTCATGTCTCTGTTTCTCTAGGAAGGAGGTAGCAAGTAGGAGTCAACACCATCAGCAGGAGCTGCTTTTTTCTCTCCTTTTGTGTATGTTTGTTTTGTTCTGCTTTTTAGAAAATAGGATCTGAGCTTAACAACAAAAGCTGCAGCCCTTCTCAACCAACTTTTTCTTGTTTCCTAAAAGGCCAATTTTACGATCTAAGAACCGACCAAAATTCTATCAAACTGTTTTGTTGTTGTTTTGCCTTTTAATAACTCTACAACTAAAGAGAAAGGGACTAAGGGATATTGTTTAAAAGATTTAATAGTTTATGTAAGCGTGTTCCCTTTTTTAACCTTTAATAAAAGTTTTAAAAGATTTTACTGGTGTATTTGTTATGCTCCTCGGCAGGCTGAGGTCTCTGTTAGGGATGTTAATAATCATGTATTTGTGTAAATGTGTAACTGCTGAAATTTATAGCAGAAACATGTTTACACACAGAGGGCCAGGCAGGAGCCGGTGGACATGAGGAGCTGGTTTAAAAGCTGCCTGCCCCCTCCCCGCCTCTGACAGAGAGGCAGCAGTGCAGGGGGTAGGGAGGCAGGCAAGAGCCAATACATGCATGAAGACAGCTTTCAAGCATGTGCATACAGACTCCCATGGAGCTGCCTACCCACCCCTTCCCCCCATGCTGCTGCCTCTCTATCAGAGGTGGGGAAGGGAGGGAGCAGGCAGAAGCCAGTGCTTGGGGGGAGCAGGCGTAAAAGCTGGCTCCCTGCGAGCACTGGCTCCTGCCTGTCCCCCTGCGTGTAAATGCATAACTGCTAAAAATGTCAGCAGTTACACATTTACACAAATACATGTTTATCAGCATCCCTAGCATGCACACTTGCATACAAAACCAAAAAATGTGATTTCAACAAAAATTTATTTTTCAAATATAAATATTAAACTGTCACACCCAAAGAAAATGATCCCCATCATGAACACACTTAAAGTGTATGGATCAAACTGTCCCATCAATAGGATTCACCACCACAGAACAAATCTGCAGTCCATCAAGTTTGCTTTATATTTTGGACAGTGATGAATCCTTCAGAAGACTGCAACTGCTTCATTAAATCTTCTCCTCTTGCAAATTATGGAATCTCCACACATGCAAGCTCTGATAGAGGCAGCATTATGGGGTACAGGCAGCTCTGTTGAAGCCAGTGCTCATGGAGAGCTGGCTTTTAAGCTGTCTTCCCCCCAGCACCGGCTCTCACCTGCCCCTCTGTGCTGCTGCCTCTGTGGGAGGCAGTGCAGGTGGGGAGAGATGCAGCTCCACAGGAGCCTGCACGCATGGAGAGCTGGCTTAAAAGCCGGCTCTCCACATGTACCAATTACCATCTGCCCCCCTGCGCTGTTGCCTCTGATAGGCTGGTGCAGGGATGGGCAATAATTTTTGGTGAGGGGCCACTCCAAAGTTTTGGTAAGTGGCCAACGGCCACACTTTTCTGAGGAGGTGGTGCAGAGTCTAGGTTGGAGGTTGAGTGCAGAAGGACACACTGGGTAAGGAACTGGGGTGCAGGAGATGGTGTGAGGTCTGAGAGTCTTTGGGTGGAGGAAGGGGTTGTGACCTGGGTCAGGGGAATTGGGGTGCAGGAGAGGATTCTGGCCTGGGGGAGGGATGTAGGAGGAGGTACAGGGTCTGAGAGGAAGTTGTCACCTGGGGCAGGGGGTGCAGAGGGTTTGGATGATGATCTGGGGAGGGAGTTGGGATGCAGGAGGGGTTGGGGTGCCAGAGGCAGGTGCTGGCTGGGAGGAGTTTACCTAAGTGTCTCATAGCCAGCAAGCTAGACTCTGCAGCCCCAGCCCACTTGAAACTGCAGCTGCTCCCTTCACATGCATCTCAACTCCAGCTGCCCCAGTCTCTCAGGCCAATCTCTCAGCTCCAAGTGGCTGGCTTTTTCTAGCCAATAGGAGCTGAGGATTGGGCTGGAAGCAGGGAGATCACGTGAAGCCTCCCCCTCCTTGCAGAGCAGAGAAGTACAGGGACTGGGTTTTAAACTGTGGCAGCTGCGTGCCTGAGAGTCCTGGCAGAGTGGTCCACAGGCTGGATCCTGTGGCTTGGCAGGCCAGATCCAGCCCCTGAGCCATATTTTGCCCAGGCCTGGGCTGGTGGGTTCTCAGCACAGTGCAAGCAGAGCAAGACGGGGCCCCTCTGAGCATAGGCCCGGCTCCATGGCACTACTGACACCATTGTCAACCCAGCCCTGGTTGAGGATGCTCAGGATCTATCACGTGGAGTTCACAAAATGTTTCACTTGAAGCATCATTTATTAATTGCAATTTGAGGCAAGATACTAGATGGGATGAGCAAACATGACCCATATTTCTATTAAAATGTTATATTGAAAACTTGAAGGGGACTGAGAGAAGAAATGGGCGGGAGTAGAAAGTAGACCCAGAAAGAGAAAGGCATGATCCTCTTGACTTAGCTGAACTTTGAGTGCTCAAGGAATGCAAAACAAAGGCCCTATTTCAAATCTTGTTTCTACTTAAAATGAGCTAAAACTGCATTATGAATGGGATGGGAAGAAGCATCATTCAGATCAAGAACATGAGAGATCACAATTTGATACTGAGCTTTACAAATATCAATGTTTAGTCACACAAAATAAATAGAAATTGTTTGGGGATTAAAAACAGGGATGAAGAGCAAGCCTACTACTTAACAGAAATTGAAGACTGTGCAGGCTTTTTTATGAACCTGAATAATCCAAGTGTAATTAGCTTAATTTATAAACAAAACAAAACTCTTGATCCATCTTTTCCCTTGTTCAAAAGTTAATCCTAAGAAACAAACCTATCGCTTTAACAGATGAGTTGGAATAGCAGCCATCGAGCTTCAGCATATCAACTTCCCATTCTGCAAATGTTTTGGCATCTGTATCAATGGTGTCCAGTGTGGTGCCAGGGTAGCCACTGCAGGTGTAGTTACCCAGGTCACTATAAATTCCAAATTTCAGCCCTTTGGAATGAACCTGTAAAGCCAATCAAAGGGATTCTAGTTAATGTATGATTCCAGGTTACTCGTCTTCTAATACCTACAGAATCCCTCTTTCGTTTGTAAAATATCTCCATTACTATTCCACAGTTGGTTTTTTCTTGGCTACTTGCTAGTGAGGTCTCTGCCTATTATGGCAGTGATTTTCTGACAGCCTTTGCATACCAGAGTCCTAAAAAAACGATTGTTGTTCAATAATGGCTGCCTTGTATTCATAGTGAAAAATATAGTTAAAGGTTAATTACTGCTCCTCTTCATGCCTGGATCTCAAAATACTTCAAGAGTTAAGATGTAGGTAAGCATTCTTATATACACTGGGTAGAAACAAAAGAAAACAGTGATTTACCCTAGGTCACACAGTAAGGGGCAGAAGTAAGACTAGAAACCAAGAAGTGTGGGTCCTGGTTCTCTATGTCAGTGGTTACCAACTGCCCGTCTGCAGACTGGTGCTGGTCTGTGAACTGCTGGCTGCCAGGACACAGTGGCTGCCGGAGCTCAAGCTGGCTGTTCATGGCGGCTCAGCTCC